CACATTTGCTAATCTAATATTTTATTCAAAAATGCTAATTCATCATGTTCTGGAAATAATGTATTAACTGGTTTTCTCAAATAAGTGTTAGGGCCAAAGACTTCTTAAAAAAATTCTGAGTACACCAAAAACAGTTCCTTTCTATATTATGACATCAATGGCCAGTATAAGGAAAGAAAAGTGAATTTTAAGAATAAGAAATTTGATATGAAGTTACAAATTTGCAATTATAAATGATATATAAGTTATGTCATTTTTCTGACATCTTCCATGTCCAATTAACATTACACTCTTTATCTGGCAATCTACAGTCACACCTTCATAAAATGCCTTAAGGAAACAGAAATAAAGAAGTCATGTAAGTAATAGTTCAGCCCTGGCCGGGTAGCTCAGTGGGCTAGAGCTTCATCCCAATACACCAAGGTTGCAGGTTCACCACCAACCGGTCAGGACACACACAAGAAACAACCAATGAATGCATAAATAAGTGGAACAACAAATCGGTGTTTCTTTCTCTCTCTTTACCTCTTTCTCTCTACCTCTCTCTCTAAAAATATCAATAAGTGAAAAATTTTTTAAAAAAAAGAAGTGATGTAACTTTAATTGAAGCACTACTTTATTGTAAACTAAAAGTGTTTTTCCCTTTTTTTAAAATGTCACCTGACACCAAGTATCTGGATACAGATGTCACTGTTGCAAAGGTTTAGGGGAATTCTTAAGAATTGAAGAAACGAAAGTAGTATATTTCCTCCTCCATACATATAGGCTTAGCATTATTAAACATACTATAATTACTTCTAATAAAGTAAAACAAATCAAAATATTTAAAAGTTACTCATTTCCTAAACTCTTCAATTTTCAGTTTACCTTAAACTTTATGATTTAGTATTTAACCTAAATTTCCTCAATAAAATCTCTTTTTGCCTATTCTAGTCTGTAGTAATCACTCTGTTTAAACTCCTAATAGTTTCTCTACGGAATTTATTTTGTAATTGATTACATATACTCTAGTAATATCTAACACTGTCTTGACTGTCAAATCAAGAGTAACATTTACTGAGTTCCTACTATAGTCAAGGCATTGTAAGGAACATACAAATGAACATGAATGCCCACAATTTAAGTAGAAAGGAACATAAACATGCATATGCTAAGGGACAGCGCAAAGCAGATTATAGGTGCAGTAAAATAAGAACACAGAACAAGGAAGTAAAGGGCAAACAGAAAATAGTTTCAATGATGAGATCTAAGAGTTCTAGAAAAAAGATGGTTAAGATAAAGAAAAAAAATCCTTAAGTAAATGAGAGAAGAAAGCAGACAAACTATCTTAAGAAAGGAAAGTAGAACAATGTAGCTGAAGAGCAAGGTAGGCAGATGGCTTTTATTTAGTGAGAGATAAAGTCAGAAAGACTCAGGACACACTGTAAATGGGTTTGAATGCTAGGTCAAGGTGTAAAGATTTTATTCTATGTACAATAGAAAGCAACTAAAGACTTGAGAACAGGAGAGGGGAGCCATTTGGTCTATGTTCTTAGAATGATAATTTGGTAGTTATATGAAAGTTGTCAAATAAAACTAAAATCAGGGAGAAAAATTAGAAAGATACTGTAATAGTCTAGGTCAGTGGTCGGCAAACTCATTAGTCAACAGAGCCAAATATCAACAGTACAATGATTGAAATTTCTTTTGAGAGCCAAATTTTTTAAACTTAAACTATATAGGTAGGTACACTGTTATTAACTTAATTAAGGTACTCCTAAGGCTTAGGAAGAGCCACACTCAAGGGACCAAAGAGCCGCATGTGGCTCACGAGCCGCAGTTTGCCGACCACGGGTCTAGGTAAAGGTGGTCAATATTTAATTAGGTCAGCAACAATGGAAATAGAAAGAAGGAAATGGAATGGATTGGAAATACGGTACCTGTAGAATAAAGGAAACTTTAGAATTAATTGGAAGTTCAGAATTAGTGACAGGGTAGTCAAAGTTAACCCTAATCAAAAGAGGCAGCAAGGACACTGACAAATTAATGCATTCTTAGTTAAATGATTCACTGTCCATATATTTCAGTCTTACCTCTCATATAGCCCATAATACAGAAAAGTAATATCAAGTGGTTAAGAGTTATGAGTACAAAGTCAGATGGACCTTGCTCAAGTTCCAGCTGCTCCCCTAGTCACTGACTTTGAATAAGCAAATTCAGCTCTTTATAAGAATCATTCTTCCTCTACAAAATGAGGACATTAAAACCTGCCTCAAAAGGCTGTCCAAAAATTAAATGAGATCATGAATGTAAACCACTTAGTAAAGGCCTGTGCTCACCCGCTAGAGGTGACCCTAAAAAAAGCTAAAATAATAAAAAACAGCAGAAAATTAGAAGAAAACATGATAGAAAAATGTAGTATTGAGTCAGGGGTTGGAGCATAAGCCCACAGATGCAAAGGGTGGCGGGTTTGATCCCTGGACCATGTCAGGGCGTATGTAGGAGGCAACTGATCTTACATCCGTGTCTCTCTTACATCCATGTTTCTCTTTCTCTCTCTCCCCTCTCCTCCTTCCACTCTGTCTGAAAATCAATGGAAAAAATATTCTTGAGTGAGGATAAAAAAAAAAAAGCAGTATGGAACTAAACAAGAATTCTGGATGTGCGGGCGATACGGCTGCGACATCTGTCACCCCATTGATCGCCAGGGTTCATTCGGCTGATCTGGCTGGCTAGGCAGGTGTCCCCCTCCTCCCTCACCGATCCATGTGCATCCCTCCTGAAGCTGCGCGCTCAGTAGAAGAGGATGACCTTCCCCCCAGAGGAGAGGACCAATCTTCGGTCAAGGGTATACGAGTAGCTGCACTCCCCTGCTAGAACCTGCAAACAAGCTCTCAAGAATTCATTCATAGTGACTATAGTTAATACTGCTGTATATATTAGAGAATTGCTAAGACAGGAGATCTTAAAAGTTCCCATCACAAGAAAAAAAATTTGTAGCTATGTGTGCTAATAGATGTTAACTAGACTTATAGTGCTGGTCATTTTATAATATATACACATTATCTAATCATTATGCTATCCACCTGAAACTAATATAATGTTATATATCAATTATATCTCAATTTTAAGAAAAGATTTCAGGATATATTAAATTATTGAGATAAACTTCAAAGTGAACATTTCCCTCAGTCAAGACATGTAGGCTATATTTAAAAAAAAAAAAAAAGCCCTAACTGATTTGGCTCGGTGGATAGAGTGTCGGCCTGAGGACTGAAAAGGTCCTAGGTTTGATTCCAGTCAAGGGCATGTACCTTGGATGCGGACACATCCCCAGTAAGGGGTGTGCAGGAGGCAGCTGATCGATGTTTCTAACTCTCTATCCCTCTCCCTTCTTCTCTGTAAAAAATCAATATAGTTGTTTTAAAAAAAAAAAAAAAAAGACATGTAGGCTTATTTGAGACAGCATGGATGGACCTAGAGGGTATTGTGCTAAGTGAAATAAGTCTGTCAGAGAAAGACAAATAGTGTATGATTTCTCTTATATGTGTAATCTAAAGCATACAAACAAACAAAACAGAGAACAAACTGATGTTTGCCAGAGGGGAGGGCGATTTGGGGACAGGCTGAAAAAGGTGAAGGGATTGAAAAGTACAAATTAGTAGTTACAAAACTCTCATGGGAATGTAAAGCACAGCATAGATAACATAATCAATAATATTTTAATAACTATGTATGGTGCCAGCTGGGTGCTGAAAATATTGAGGGAAACACTCTGTAAAGTATGTAATTGTCTAACCACTATGCTGTACACCTGAAACTAATAAAAAATAATATTGAATGCAATCTGTGATTTAACTTTAATCAAAAAATTAAATTAAAAATAATATGTAGGCTTTACTCAACTATAAACAGAAGACATGTGATGCAGAATTTTTCTAAAATGCTTCTCAGGGTTCTGGTTGGTGTGGCTTAATTAGTAGGAACATCATCCCGGCACCAAAAGGTTGCCAGTTTGATTCCCAGTCAGGGCACATACTTAGGTTGCAGGTTTGATCCCTAATGAGGGTGCATATGGGAAGCAACTGATAGATGTTTCTTTCATATATCAATGTTTTTCTTTCTTTCTCTGTCTCTCTCTCTTCCCCTTTCTCTAAAATCAGTAAAACATATCCTTAGGTGAGGATTTAATAAGATAAAATAAATAAAACAAATAAAATGGTTTTCAGGTAAAGCCGTTGCCAAAAATTCATTCATGAAAATTCTAGGTTACCCTGGCCAGTGTGGTTCAGTTAGTTGAGCATTGTCCCATGCACCAAAAGGTCACTGGTTTGATTAATCCCCTGTAGGGGGTTTGCAGGAGGCAGCCAATGAATGTTTCTCTCTCCCCCTTCTTTCCTCTCTCTCGCTCTGGAAAATATTCTACGTGAAAGCAAAGTTAAACATTTTGTTTTTCTGTGGGACTTTGTCCACATTTTATGAATTCTGTGACTTTCTAAAAATCTTTCTCAAACTTTAACCAGCAAACAATTTTTTTCAGTAGATCACCTATAATTAGAACTATGGTTACAGGACATCTATATTAGAAATTTATATAAAGAATTATATTATTACTAAGCAATTAGGTAAACATAATAGTTATTTAGCAGCAAGTTTAAAAAGACAATTACTATGCAAATGGACTAGCATGGGGTTTAGAGAACACCCTGAGAATGGTCTTAAAGAAACATAAATCTCAAAATGCACTGCATTCTAATTAAAACTTTACAATATGAGTATTCCTGATCCTCTATATCCATATTGAATATATATTTAGACATTTCATACTTTATTAGTTTAATAACTCAAAAAATCATTATAAAATTAATCTATTTAGTGAAGACAATTTCCATAGATCTTAAAATGATTTAAAATACTAAAATAAGCAAAAATTATTTTCTTATCAGTATCAGAAAAAGAGAACCAGCAACAGAAAGGTATTTTTAAACTGCGTATAAATTGGTGAAAGATAACATTTTTACCTGGGATTTCCTCTTAGTGCAGCATGGTGCAGGGCATTAAATCCATTATTGTTTGTAATGGTGACATCCGCCCCAGCTTCCAGAAGGACTGCCAAGATGTCATCGCGTTTCTTACTTATTGCATCGTGAAGAGGAGTATCACCTTCAGAATCCTTTTTTGTAAGTTTAAAAAGATTTTCATTAGTTCTTTTTCAATCATTCTCACATGTAATTATTAATACTTATAATGAACTACTAAACAAAGAAACAAAAACAGAACCCATATCCAACAACCATCAATAAAGCATACTATGTGTTAAATTTAATAAATGCAGGCAAGAAATAGCATTATAGTGAATAAACTTATATTCAATCTAAATGGCATACACAATAAACATGCAGTAGCTTTAAAAAAAATCCAATAAATTAAATACCCTCAAAATAATTAATAACAAAAATAAATGAGGTGGAAAAGAGGTCAAAAAATTCATTCGTTTAAAATGGCTTGCTATACCATTGTCCTACCATTAACTGCTGCACCCTGAAACTCCATCCCAAACCTACACCAATCTCAGGGCCCATAGCAATTAATTAAAAGTCAGTGGTTCTCGACCCTGGCTGTACTTTAGAATCTGCTGGGAAGCTCTTAAAATCCTGTAATCCAAAAAGAATCCTGTAATCCAGGCTGTTCTTCAGATCCACTAACCAAGAATCTCAGGTTGGGACTCAGGCATTAGTAGTTTTCCCGAGTTCCCCAGGTGAATATATTGTGTAGTCACTGCTGAGAATCATTACTCTAATTGTTTTCAAAGGGCAGGAAAGAGAGTAGTTAACTCAAAGTGAAAACAAATGTAAAAGAAAATTTGGCAGTCTCAGCCTATGTTTTTTTTTCAAGTTGATTACTTCCTTCAGTAATCAACCAATGTGGCAATAAATTGTTATTCATTATCAGTCATCTGTGTAAATGGGTAATTTAGCCTTCATTCATTTCATAGTTTCATAAATACTATTTTCAGTAAAGCCATCTATAGTTACCACAGTTGCCAAATCTAGGCTGCCCCCATTTTTGTAATTTTATTTACATAGCCACACACACGCATTTATGTATCATCTATGGCTACTTTGGTGCTACAATGGCAGCACTGAATAATTGTAATAGAAAATATGAAAGCCAAAAATATTGCCTGGCCTTTTTTTAAATATATTTTTTTATTAATTTTTAGAGAGAAAGGAAGGGAGAGGGAGAGAGAGAGAAACATCAGTATGAGAGAGTAACATCAATCAGCTGCTTCCCGCAAGCCTACCTACTGGGGATCGAGCCCACAACTGGGGCGTGTGCCCTGACTACAAATCAAATCAGCAACCTCTTGGTGCATGGGACAACACCCAACCAACTGAGCTGAGCCACAACAGCCAGGGCTTACCTGGCCTTTCACAGAAAAAGTGTGCCAATCCTAGGCATATATTCATCCACCCACATAAGAAATTCCCAACACAAATTCAGTCCAACAATCTACCTTTCATCCTCCTATTGCACTAAAAATTCATGGTCTCCAACTTGAGATAGGCTCTTAACCTGACAGGAATATGCTTCCACAGGTCCTGATCTGTCCTGTCTCTTGCTCTCCACAGTAGCTATTTCAATTACCCTTTCTACACTGACCACTCCCCACTCACTCTCACCTAATAACTTTGCCTCCCTTATCAGACAAAAAAAAAAGCCAGCAGGTATAAATTCCACACTCCTTCAACAGATTAATACCTTACATCGCCTACTCCATCTTCTAATCCTACCACTCTGTATCTTGGAAAAACTAGTCTGTAATAATCATTTAGCTGAACAAACTCTCTGATACTTTCGATTCTCGTCAAACCCTCAGTCCCATTACTCCTGTTCTACATTGCTTCTCTAAGACCAATCCTAATTAATTCATCTAGTTGCTGAAATTTTGAAAGGGAATAATCATTTTGTAGGTGACCCTTCCTTAAAAAAAGTAGATCCTACTGTAAGAAATAAACTTTAAAACCCTATGTATTTCTCAAAACAGAAAATCTTCTAAGACTGGACTAATCCAATGATGGCAAACCTTTTGAGCTCGGTGTGTCAGCATTTTGAAAAACCCTAACTTAACTCTGGTGTCATGTCACATATAGAAACTTTTTGATATTTGCAACCATAGTAAAACAAAGATTTATATTTTTGATATTTATTTTATATATTTAAATGCCATTTAACAAAGAAAAATCAGCCCAAAAAAATTAGTTCGCGAGTCACCTCTGACACACGTGTCATAGGCTCGCCATCACTGGTACACCAAGTCTCTTAAATTACATAAGGCTAGAGCTAAAACAATTTAGATAGCTATGAAGTAACTATTAGGAAATGCAGCCTATTACACTGTTTAAGTTGCTGAAGCCCACTGTCATGATCACTAAAATCAAATCAATTCAATTCAAAAACAGATACTTTTGCATGAAATCCCTATCCCCACCCCTCAATATAAGACAGATCTACTTGACACTTCCTTAAAAAGGCTTTTCTAAGAAGGAAGAGCTGCCAATTTTATTACATTCCATACCTTTGGTATCACTTACTATGATCATATAAAAAAGAATTGTAACACAGAAATGCTTACCATTGAAGCTAGTACTTCCCTTTAATAGGTTCCTAGCAATACCTACAGAATATATTTTGTTAAAGGTTTTACCTGAAGACTTGGATGACAACCAAAGTCCAATAAAGTCTTTACAACTTGAAGATGACCTTTATTGACAGCAATATGAAGTGGTGTCTGTCGGCGTTTGTTGCGAGCATTCAAGTCTGCACTGCCTCGATGTAATACTTCTATAACAGCACCTTCATCTCCAAAAGCTGCATGGTGAACGGCTCTATCTCCATCCTTGTCCTAAACAGCAGCATTAAAATCTGAATTAATGAATAGTTTAGAAAAATAAATAAAACTTGAAACTATAATTCATTAAGAACCAAATTGATGTGAGAGAGAGAAAAAAAACATTGCATAGAGCCAACAAAAAAAGCAGAAATTCACTTGAATAGTGACTAACTCCAAAAATAAATGACGAATCCTGGATCAATACAGGTGTGGGCAAAAGTAGGTTTACAATTGTGAGTATGCAATACACAAAGTATATTCTTGTACCATTATTTAATACTGTATTATTTGTATTACAACTGTAAACCTACTTTTGCTTATCCATGTATATTATATCAGACATATATTTTTGACCAATAGTTATATCAGAAGTAGTTCAATTCTTCATTACCCTAATTTATCAGTCATGATGATAAGCCAATATTAGGAAAATACTGATATATAACACAATACATAAACTTTTTCCCATTTAAAAATTTTACAAAGACTTTTAAAGGACATAAAAATTACACTAACTTCAGTTGAGTAATTTTAAAAAGAAGAAAGGATGCCAAACAGTGTGATCTCAATTAGTTTTAAGGGGAGAAATATATCAACATATTAACATTGGTTATCTTTAGCTAGTGAGCATACACTTTTCTGTGTATTTGAGAGAAAAAATATTACATACCACTTTAAAAGACAAAAATAAAACACAAACGAGCATAATTTCATACCTCCAAAATTCTAAAACTCTTTCAGAGAAATCCAGTAGGTATGCCTCACCTTTTGTAATTGGAGGAGATGAGTCAGAGAATTGTTTACCTTTTTTTCAAATGTAAAAACAACTTTTTAAAGGGGAAAAAAATGCCTGTCCTGCAGGCATTAAAATAAAGATTACACACTTACACACAAACACACACACACCAAAAAAGAAGTCTCATTACACTGATAGATGCCGATGGAAAAGGATATTATTAAGGGTACTATCTTTAGTCCATATTCCAGCTCAAATTTTAACACCCAGAAGTAAGCAAGCTTTAAGACTTTATCCAGTGGTTCCCAGCTGATGGTCCTAGTCCCCTGGTAGACTACGATTTTTGCAAGTGGTTTGAAAATACATTACTTGTGATTAGTTTAAATACTTCCCAAAGTTAACACAGATAAGTACTGTTGCGATTAAATACACTTAAAACAAATGAACAGCCCGGCCAGCGTGGCTCAGTGGTTGAGCATCGACCTATGAACCAGGAGGTCAGGGTTCGATTCCCGGTCAGGGCACATGCCTGGATTGTGGGCTTGATCCCCAGTGTGGGGCATGCAGGAGGCAGCCAATCAATGATTATCTCTCATCACTGATGTTTCTCTCTCTCTCTCCATCTCCCTTCTTCTCTGAAATCAATAAAAATATATTTTTTAAAAAAGAAGAACAGTTCATTCAACACAGTTGAATTAGAAATAGTTTTTGGGTTTTGCAATTTTTCTTAAGCAGATATTAAAAGTAAAACTGCTGATACAGAAATTCAGAAAGATTGAACAACAATTCTCAAAAGGGTAGCAAACCATGACTCAGGAGTACTTCTACTTTACTAATATTCCAGCTAAAACAGGTTAGGAGTTTTTATTATCTATCTACTTTGAGCATAAAAAAAACTAGCAAGCACCACACTAAAGATTTAACACTTGAGCCTCTGAGCAACATTATATTTAAACATCCCAGAAAAAAAGAAAAATGATTATTACAAAAAACTGTTTTTATTTATGTGTATCACTAACTTTTCTAATAACATATTTCAATATTTTAGAATCTTAGATTTAAGATCTTACTAACCTCTAATCTGGATTTCTTTTCTTTTACATTTTTTAAGTCTACCTGGTGGTACTCCTTCCATTACAAAGGAGAAAATCAATCCACTAACACTCACTGATTAAAAAACAGGAACTATTTATGAAATATACCATATATTGATGGTTATTAGAAAACTGCTATTGCAACACTTTTATGCAGGTCCCATCAATTTATGTTAAAAAATTAAAAACCCTAATATATATGAAATACAAATAAAAATTTAAAGAACTTGGAAAATACATACCCATACTAGAACACAATTAAATATATTTCCAGACTTTCCTTCTATTTAGAAAACCTCAGTTGTACAAATACCTCAACTTACAGACTTTGAATATACCTAAAACATACTGCTAGTTCACTATTCTGTCCCTACTGGCACCAAATGAGATCTTGAAGGACAACATTATAGCTGGCCTCCAAAGGTAACCTAAAAGGATTTGTGAAGGGGCTTAGAATTAAATCTAAAACTGATTTTTCCCTCGCCAGGTCAGGTGGATTAGTTGGTTGGGGTGTTGTCCTGTTCACCAAAAGATTGTGGGTTCAATTCCCAGTCAGGGCACATACCTAGGGTGCAGGTTGAATCCCCAGTCAGGAAGCCTATGGGAGGCAACTGATGTTTCTGTTTCTCCCTCTCTCTTTCTCTCTCCCCCGTCCTCTCTCTCTCTCAAATCAATATTAAAACATATCCTCGGATCAGATCCAAAAAAAACCAAATGAACCAAAAGGAACTGATCTTGGTTCTTTCTACCCTCTTATTCCCTCCTCTTTCCTCCCACCCCTCCAAAATCTGCTCTTGTTCCAGTCTTCCCTATCTTACCTGATAGAATCACAGGCCATAGGTTAACAAAATCAGTATCTGAAGGTCATGCTCACCTACTTCCTTAAACTATAGGCAAGCACCAAATTCTATGGTTTTTACTCAAGTTATGTTCATGTCTATTGTCTCTTCTCCAATTATATCACTAATTAATTCAGGCCTTCATTCTCACTCACCTGACCTATTGCCATAGCTCACTCTGCCTCCACTTTATTCTAACCCCAATCTACTCTTCACACAGCAGACAGAATTCTCTCCATAACACACAAAATTTATGTTTAAAACTCTTTAATGTAACTCTACTATATAAAGAACAAATCCCTTTCTTAACATTTATTTTCAATTAGTTTATATTCAATATTATTTTATTAGTTTCAAATGTCCAGCATAGTGGTTAAACATATACTTTACAAAGTGTTCCACCTGATACTTCCAGTAACCACCAGGCACCATATGTAGTTACTAGTGGCCCGGTGCACGAAATTCGGCAGTTGGACATCCCTCTTGCAATCTGGGACTGCTGGCTCCTAACCACTCACCTGCCTGCCTGCCTGATTGCCACTAACTGCTCACCCCTGCCAGCCTGATCGCCCCTAACTGCCCTCCCCAGCAGGCCTGATCTCGCCCCAACTGCCCTCCCCTGCCAGCCTGATCACCCCTAATTGCCTCTTGCCAAACCAGTCATTAAAAAATTGAACCACTTTCGGCTGGCAAGGCCCAGAGAAAAAGAAAGGCAAGACCCTGATCAGCAGGTCAGATCCTGCTACTCTCTCCAGGCCTCGCCAGCAGCCTGAGATGGCTGCTGATCAGCCCCACCTCTCTCTCTCTGAGAGGTCAGCAGTTCAGCCTGCTCACCAGTCCCCACCCACTCAAGCCTGCTGCGCGTACAGCCTGGTGTTCAGTCGTCCCTTCGGTTATTTTGGACGTTACAGACCCTGGCTCTTTATATATATATATAGACTAGTAGCCCAGTGCATGAAATTCATGCACATTAAAAGGTAATTAATTAGCGGAGATATTTTAATATTGCTATTTGCCCTTTCTCTATAATAGAAGTGTGAGAGATGAAAGGAAATTAGTAAAATGTATATGAAAGTAATATATACATTGATTAATAAACAGTAACTAAAGGATATAACAGAGGCATGATACAAAAACGACAAAAACATGATATAAGGACAAAAACATGATATAAGAACAAAAACATGATATAAAAACAACAGTGATGCAAACAATGACTGATAAAGTGATTAAACCTATTCTAACATCTCCCTGTACACATTAAGAGTGAAAACACTTTCAGAGTGCTTGACTAATTTCCCTTGTGATGAAGTATTTAACTGTAACATCAGATGTTCTTTGAACTCGAGAGAAAGCAACATATAACTGACCATGTCCGAAAATGGGGTCAGGTAGGAATATTCCTACTGTTTAGACTGGCGCCAGCGAGAGCTTTATATGCATCGCGCATGCGCGAGTCAACCTTTATTATTAAATTGCCAGTGCGTGTCATATGTGCCAGCCGGTCGGTTGGCTGGTCGGATGGTCATACAGTCGGTCACGTAGCCTTTTATATATATAGACTAAC